CACTCATTCTTCTCAGTATACGCAATACTGTTAAAGAAGACTTGGGCTGCACAGCCGCTGAACTCGTCTTCGGCACTACCTTACGTCTTCCAGGTGAAATGATGGTCGACTGCAACAACTGGTGAAACGGACCCTAATTCCTACGCTTCCCGGCTTCGCCAACACATGTGTGATATCCGTCCTTCACCTACTCACAAACTTGCAAGCCTACCCAGGTACATCACGACCTTGCTACATGTGACTGTTTTTGTGCTCGTCGATGCGGTCAGAAAGCCCTTACAACCGCCATACGAAGGGCCTTTCAGAGTCATTTCTCGGAAAGACAAAACTTTTGTCATTGATCGTAACGGTCGCACACTCACTGTTTGCATCAATCGACTAAAAGTTGCTTAGATGCACACACGACCAACCTCTGATGATGAGATACTACGACCCCCTCACACATCCACATTGATCGTAACGGTCGCAAAGACACTGTTTGCATCAATCGACTAAAAGTTGCTTAGATGCACACACGACCAACCTCTGATGATGAGATACTACGACCCCCTCCGTTACACATCCACACAGTCACACGATCCCTTCTTCGACCAGTGCCACCACCAATACCACACACACTCCTTCACTCACAATATCTGGTCGACAGTGCAAACTTCCTGGCCGTTTCAAAGACTAACCGTCTTGACGCATTTCCTTTTCGAGCGTCTTGCTCACCCATTTGACGCTCTAGGGGGGAGTTCTGTGGCGCTTGTAAACTGCCCTTTTTCATTCTCAGTATCATTTTCTTTTTTCTCATCATTATCAGTCACATCGTTGTACAAAAGTTTGTTTTACTGAAGTGCAACCGCTACCGCCCGCTCGTTGGCTCCAACGTGACTTTGAGACTTTCGCTGAGTGACTGTTGTTATGACCGCCGGTTGGCTATGTTTGACCGCTGCTAGCACTAAACGTGAACAAACATTTCAGCTACAAACACTGGACTAATATATTCCCGCCTGTGGAATAATATTTCGACCAACGGGGATCTGGGATACCAGGAAGATAGAACTATTCTTGGTGTGGTGGTTCAACGGAATACAAAACTGCGGAATCTCCTATTTTGAACTGTGAGTGAAGATTTACTTGTATTTTTCTCTTTGTGACTTTGTATCTGGCTTACATCAGTAACCTGTTCAGTTCACTGGAGACCCCGTAGGACCGTTAACCATCACAGTCCTTGGCTTGTGTTAAGCTGTCCATAATTATGGGCATCTTCGTCACGCAAGAATGACTTGGGCGAAATCCGTTTTGAACTGGAGATATCAGGTTGCCGGAAGTAAGGTAATCTAGGATGGCTTGCTCCAGGATGCGTTTCATCACGTTGCACCAAACGATAGTGGGGCTCATGGGCCTGCAGCTGCCATGCGATCGTCCGTCACCGGTTTTTTAGATTGGCACGACAATCGCTGTCTTTGAAGGAGAGGAAAGGCAACCATCGTCGAGTGACTGAAGAAACACCAGGTATGAATGATTTGGCAGTGTGAGCGACGTTTCCTTCAGGATCCTTGGATTGACCCCGTCGGGTTCCAGCGCACAGAATGGGTTGACCTTGTGCTAGAATAAACGAATGTCCTCCACCGTGAAGACCAAGTTGGTTAGAGGCTGTTCGTAGTTACTCCTTTACAAGAATGAATGTAACGAGGACACTGGGGCTGAACCCAGACCTGCATGGTGTTCTCCGGTACAAATATTGGGCCATTCGTGGGTTCTCCGTTTCTGTCCCCCGAAGAGTACGCGGATGGCTTGTTTCTGCGACGATTTCTCGTGTATTTGGAAGGTACGTTTCTGTTTTTCCGGACAAGGTCCCAAATCGTGGCTTATTTTGTACGCTCCTTTGGCGGATTTCCGATTTCCAGCGTCTACCGAAACGCCAGCTCGTCTGCTGTGTCTCACGTAATCAATGAGTGCTTCTGCCAGTTTTGTTGGCCTGCATCCTTTAAAGCCTCCGAAAGGAGCACATGTTTTTCCCCTGACTGTCTCGATTAAATTAAAACAATTACACTGACCTTCTCTACTCAGAAGACAGAATTTGATCTCTCTATTGACAGGAGTATAACCAACTGTGAAAAGAATAACACCGCTAAGGTTGAGGTTGCCGGTCAAATATGAATTGAGAGAGTTGAACGTTCGGTTCAGCTATTCATCCTGCAAACCGAAGCTATCACCAAGCACTGCACTCAACGACTTGTATTCAAGCAACATCCGCTTCGTCCACATCCGTTATGCTTCACCAGTGTTTGTGTCATAACCTGGTCCATGATTGTGAACTATTGGGTACATCGCTGAAAGATAGTGCAGTCTGACAGAATTTTTCATGCGCGTTTTTTGAGCGGGCAGTGAGAGTGGATTGGTATTTCAACATTTCGGGATTTCTCTGCCCGGTTTAGTGGCTATCTGTGTGCGCAAAACGTCGGCGAAACCACCACAACTTTTATGCATGACCATGTTTCAAACGGTTTTACCCCCCATAAAGATTTAACTTTTCTCAGGTAACCACCAACCTATAAGTTATACTTTCGCCAACTTGTCTTTGCACATCACCGGATCACTGACATATATGCATATGTACATATACGGTAGACTACAACTCTTTCCCAAATTTGCCTTTAGATTTGCCTGTACCGGTATGCGCTCAAGGACGGCGGGTAATACAACCTGTTGTTGGCGCTCGATCGCAGACATCCCTCTTAGCGTCTTCTAGAAAGCGCAATCCCGGCTAGAATGACAGTAGGTTTATTTCTCAACTTTTAGGCAGCATACCGATTCAGGCATGACCATTCCATTACAACTTGGGGGTAATGTGCAACAACACAACGGGGAAGTGGGCAAAGCCAATGATGCAGGCTTTTCACAAGGTTTTTCATAAGCAATCGCGGATTTCGAAAATAAGGAGCCAGAATAAAGTAGCCAGAGGTACGATTAGTTCAAAGATGAATCCGGTTAATTTCTGACTTAAAACTGGAACACCGCTGCTGGCGCTAATAGCCGCTCACAGCATCTTGTTTCAACGAGCGAAATTTTAAGGTCACCGACTACCGCCAATTTCCACATAGTTGCTCTAACGCAACGGAACCTAAACTGTATCCCCGAGAATGTCCCAGAAAACACTTTTGATTCCAGTTTCGGTGTTCCAGTAGAAGTGTTTCTGTACCATTGTCGTTCTACCTTCCTATCTGTGCGTCGTACCTGCTGTGTCCCTGTGTTCCACTGTTTCCGCGTTAACCCTGTGTATCTTTTGGATTCCAACCTACTGCGTCGACTTACGCGCGCTACGCTGCCGCTCGACGAGATAAAAAACACGACATGCGATCCACGCACAATCCAGCATTCCGGTTGATCGGTTGTGCAAAAGCCAGGAAGCGCGCGCAATAAACGTCATTTGCGCACAAAGCAAGAAAAAAAGAGTTAACTGGCTAAAACGCATAAACCAAGGAAAGATGGGCTTTCAATACATGGGAGAAAGTAGTCGAAAACGATTAAAAGAATTTATTTCAGGAGACTTCTGCTTCTCCAAGTAAAATTAATACGATGTAACATTTCCAAATTAATGCGTAAATTTAGCATCAAAAAACACACGAACTTTAAAATGCTCTCCAGCGATCTACTTTTCTTCGAGCAATCTGCTTCTGTCTACCCACACCACTTCATATAATAAAAGTTTGACAGGAACTCGGCGTCTCTGTTTTCGAAACTCTTGATTCAAAATTGACTGCATATCCAACACTTTTCGAACCCATACGTTAGGTTGCCTTCATCTTAGTTAATCATTTTTCATCCTGTACGTTTCGCCAGTGAAACGTTAGTGTTTTCAAAGGGACGAGCTAAAGGAAAAATTTAAAAAGAAGTCGGACGGCGTCTCCTGGAGTCGAATCCTAAAAGTATCGGTGCCTGATCCCGAACTTACTCCACTAGGTCAATGAGTCAGGGCAGCCAGTGACGGAAACATCCGCTAAGCGGCTAAGCCGTCAGCTAAGCATTTATTTGTACAGGTATGGATTACGTGACTCGGTCCATCTAGCAGGTTGTTTGAGTTTGAATGAATCGGCTTGCGCATGAATCAGCTTTCATTAAACACGAAATCATCCTTTGGCATATTTTAGCGTCGCGTGGTGTTCTTTACAAGTAAGATAATATACACTTAAAGTCCACCGCGACCCCCACCTAGAAAAATAGCGGAATGAAATCTGTCAGATTTCTACTCCTCAGACGTATCAAAAGGGGTGAGTTCGTTCAACAAACTTTGGCACGATAACCTTCTGGGGGCTTCATTCCATTCAGCATAATAGGGGAGCAATTTGGTGTATCATGCAGTAGTGACATGGGTTTCACTTCTATGGATGATCCTTATTCCGAGATAGGCACCAGTCAAGAGATGCAGAAGCGTTACGAGATACTTGCATGTACACTGGCAGCACAACGAAGTACTATTCAGTGAAAATAATCATGTTACTTAGCTGGAATACGTCATAAAGCCAAACTACATCGACAGGAGCTGAGGCCAACCATTGCCGGTCATCATGGTAACTACACGCGCTGTCGCACACAGCAGCTAATTGTCACACTTGCTAGGCCCGTGTTAATGTGTGAGGCCTCAGCAATGGATGGTAGCCCAACCCAATGAAAGACGACGGCCCATCATACCCGCAGCCAAAAAATCTACCATTTGTCTTCGTCAGTTATAGTAAAAGGGAGGCCAATGCTTATACGGGACGGTGGATACGGCCGTCGGCCATGCATGACAGCCTAATCTGATGATCAATATCGGTCAACTATACCCATAACTGTATGCATTGTCGCTCCTCTCAGCTACTTGTCGCACATTCCGCGTCCGGGACCATGTGCGACGCTGATTATAGGGCATCAACTACACATGAGAGACTAATCTAGCAACCAACGACAGTCCATTGTAATAACCATCAAAGTTATCGCTGCGCAGTGCGCGCTCCATGAGATCGTAGAACCGCCATCGATGAAATGTTTTTAATTGTTGAAGGAACAGTCACGCCGTTTTTTTTCGGTAGAACACTTTTGCTCGACGGATCTGAAATAAACTATGGGTATTCAGTTCATATCTTTGATAAGTTTGGTCAGACATTTGAGTGTCATGAAGGCAAACCTAACTCTTCTAAACTGGCCCCGTTGTCGGTCATGAAGGATCAATGTGTGCACCGCAGCTGCACCAGCGACGTTGACGCTGAATTAATGCGCACACAAGACAGTCATAGTGTCAAGAAGCATAGACTTGATTCTCAGAATTCAAGGACGTTATGAGTCTTCAGACTAGTGTCCATGGATGAAGCGTTAGCAAAGATCTAGTAAATGGAAGGCTACTTGATATCCAATCTTTTCCTTTGAAACATCCTGAAAGGCACACGACACCAAAGACAGCCAACCTCTCCGTAATCTCTTTTATGTGATTCTGCCGAAGTATTTGTTTTCCGCCTCATGATTCGAGTTATTTTAAAAGAACACAGGGAACACCACTCACCTCACCAAATATCGGTTCTCATCACTTCGTTACTAATTTGTTGAGGCCATCCGAAACCGGCAAAACTTCCAAGCCATCAATTGTCGAAAACGTGAATATGCCTCATATCATCTGCCCGCAGAGGTCATGTTTCGCCAAAGTATAACAATACGACTCTTATTCT